TTGATGATGAACCCATGGAGATATTCCACTGAAAGTATATGTGTAAATGGGCTGATGTTCCATATCTCACCAACTGGGGTGAATGCGGTGATATGCACTGACACACAACAGCCACCAAAGACCAAGGGGAAATAACCTAACACACCCAGTGGTATGGGTGGAGGCGGTGATAAGCCTCAGGATCGTCTGACTCCCGAAAACGCGGACTCAGCGCATCGTACAAGCCCTCCGGAGCTTATTCGACACAGCGCTCACATGCCTCTAGGCTTCTATGGGCTCTAAAGACTTGCTCTGTTTTAGCTCCGGACTTCCTAACATCCTTGAGGCGTACACGGACCCATTCCACGATTTATCTCCGCGAACAGGAGCTCCGGAGTGACTTAACCAATGCGACTTCTAGCTGAATTAGCTCCGGGGCCCACGAACACTTCTATCGAGGGGCGTCGTCCTCATGCCCACCCTCCAGCACTCACTCCCCCTCGTTTCCGTCAAGATACCGAAGGTGCGGACGCATACGAGTCACCATAAGGTCAGCATCAGTCAGCAAGCGGCCGGAGGTAATTAGCACGTGACCGGCGCATCGCACGGAGTGATGGGACCGCTTACATCAGGTGGCAGAGCATCAAGGCGACCTCTAGGGGTTGGGACGGGCAAGTAGGAGTGCAAGGGAGTCGTGTGGTGCATGGTATAGCGGCGGCAAGTGCTGAGCAATCCTGTGGGTAGCGGTGGTTATTTGTTATTTATCTCCGGACGGTCGCAAAGCCATTCCTGTAGTATAAATTGTACAAAGTAGCGTACAGAAAAACAAGTTTCGACTTCACCATCTCAGAGAATTAGCGTTACGATCTCAGCGACCCAAGAAGTTCGAAAGCGTCGAACCTAGCGAATTATAACCGATCCTAGCTTTGCCAATAGGCCTGACTCGTCGAGTGAATTATCTCCGCCATCGATTCAATTAGCTCCGGTGAGTCTCACATAGTGAAATAAAATTAACCAAGTTTCTCTAGCAATTTCTACTCCCGTGGGCCCGAACCTACACTCGGTTCCGTGGTTTGCGACTTTGTTTGCGACTTTTCGGAGATAAATACTCCGGAGCGTCCCTTAGTGTTTGTTTCAGGCGTCAAGGTTTTGTTTTATTTTTCTAGGTCTTCCTACGGACTACCCTATGGCATCTTACTCCTCCTTCCCCCTCGAACTATTAAATACCCTTCAGTTGTCTCGGACCGCCTTCACCCATATCACGGGGTTTAGGTTTATTCCTTTTGGTCCTTGGTGATTGTTGTGTGTCAGTGCATATCAGCGGGCTCGTGGCCTCTCCTGTAGGCTGAGCTGGGCAGCTGGGTGAAGGTCATAGCATGGTCGTAGTCAAGTGCCGTAGCTGGACCCTGGATATGTATTGTATATGTGTAGTATTTCACCAATAGTCACATGGGCATTACCTTGCACACTGGGAGGCACTACCTCGCGCACTGGAACATCCAACCCAAGGGCCCTAAAACCATTAAACAATGGAAAGCATTGCTGGGATCACGGAAGAACACTACTTGGATCATTCAGAATCACTACTCAATGCACGCTAAATAATTGGCTTTGGCACGCGTCTCCAATAGTAAAAATGTCACACCTGGAATTGGCTTAGCCAAGTATGGAAATAAATGGCTCGGCCACTTCCCTCCGGTCGAAATAAGTGGCTAGGACATTTTATCGATGTGTTTTGTGCAATTATTTATGGTGGTTTCCCTCCCCACAGTGTTTAGCGGGTGTACTGGGGCTAGACCAATTGTCAGTTGCCAGTACGCCATATCACTTGTCCAAAAAAAACAAAAAAAATCACAAAGTCCCACTCATAGTTGGTGCGTGTCACGCGCATCCCACCAAAAGGGCGACTGTGGTTCCCAGCCGCAGTTGGACTTACTTCACCCTCCAATCAACACAACCAAATAACACCTAATGTGGTAGGTAAGTCAGGTGACCTCCCGTGCCGCCGGCACCGCCTGAGGGCTTTCCTGCGTATAGCAGTCCTAAGTAAATAGTGACTACAAATGAGCTCTAGGGAGGAGAAATAAACTATTCAAAAAAATTTACTGCTTCTTCATCTAAGAGAGATGAGCGTATTCTGATGGACTCTCGACAATGGAAGACAGAAAAAGACATATAAATATAAAATGCACCACCACACCATGAACTCTCATCCACAGCATAAATCACTAACACTTTAACCATTAGACTACGAGGGAATAAATATGCAGCGCTATTCAGTAATTATGTACTGCACAGCAAGGCAAATTTACATGGGTGCTTCTCAATTTGGTAGTCGACGCCGGAGGCCCGGCTCACGTGATTTACCTGCCTGATATGGGCGTATTTGGTCGTGTTTATCGGAGGGCAAAGTAGCAAAAGTGCCCAGCTGCTTCGCAGTGTAGTGAGTATTACGAGCGGAGCTTGAATTGGGAAGTGGCTGGTATCAAGCCTAGGTAATATGCCATGATATGGATGCCGTGACAGCCATTTGCAGTTCGAAGGGCCCATTTCCTGAAAATCATTTACAGTCGGACCATCACTGTGCGGCAGAGCCTCTTAGTCAGGCCCTGACTAGCAGTGACCAGCTCTAACTCTACGGCCGAAGTCAGCGATAGATGTCTGTATTGACTAATTTAGGTAGCCATCTTGTAATTAGGTCTGACCACGTGAGCAAGTCGCGTACGCATCAAGCTCATTTATCTTTCACCACGACTAGGTCTACCTATGTCTATCTAACCGGGATAGGCCAGTACAGTCGTTCCACGCCAACTCTCGCAAGTATTCACTTGAACTATATTTCATAAACTCGCCCGAGTTTAGTTTCTGGCTAGCTAGCTGAGTTCGAAACACCGCTGGTGCGCACTTAAGCCGTAGTCGTCTCGTACCTCTCTCTCTTCCTCACTCCTCTCGCTCCCCTGCTCTCCTCTCCCTTCATTCGCCCCTCCTCGCTCTCCTGCTTCTCACGCTTCCTACGTCTCGCGACTACTCTTCAACATCTACTCTCTTAATGCGGCGGCAGCCTACAAGCCTGAGTTACCCAACGAAAATGAGGCATATGGAGTCGCTGGGGTCGACGCTGGATGTCAGCAGTTAGGACAATGGCCACAACACCCCGATAGTGAGCACTGCCTTACGTTCTTGAAGTGGATGTCCGGCTTACTTGAGTCAGCTCGGAGGTTCCAACAGACGGTGGTGGCACTTCGTGTGGCGTCGCTGGCTGACTCGGAGGTACATCCGGACTACGGTAATGTGGGGCCGACATAGAGCTATATGCTCGGGCTACCTGTGGTGCCTCTTGGCAAATTTGTACGTCGACGCGATGCAAACCCCCCGCCTTCCTAACTAATCTCGCAGTTGGTTTGACTGCGGATAGGCTTAAATGTGGAGATATAGGCATATATGCGTGCAATCTGCAAATACATTTGCAAGGTGACATAGAAGTATGAGGGGAGGTCAGTGCTGACAAGAACTGAATTATAGTACCAGGACTGGGGTGTCAGTGTGTCGCCTCCTCTCCAGCTCCAGGTAGCATCTAATGTTTATGGTCTAGGTTCGGGACTATGCACATATATGGTCCGCTGGGGCAACAGGCACCTTGCGACAGTGCACTCTGACCCGGTCGTGGTCTAGACAAGGAGCCTCATGTTATCGGAGAGGAGAGGTACACTGCGAGTATGGGTGCTCAAATGGCAACATGTTCTGTAATTGTGTCTCGAATATTTATAGCTATTTATGTCAGTCTGGATATAAGGATGGATATATAGGTTCCAGGTACATGAACTACCTGTAGCACCAAATAGTACAGGAAGTCTGACCTAGTAAGGGTGGAAGTAGTTCCAATAGGCAGATGTGGATAACACTGGTCGTGTGGGCACAAGTCCAGCTATTCACCACTAGACAGTCATAGCTATCCCATTGACTATCTCAGCTCGTGAACCTCGCGGTAAGCGGTGCTAGCCACATGTCACCTGGAGCTGATTTACGGGGTGCATCTAGCGCTGGTCACCCGTCCCTGACTAGCTCTGCTAGTCGGAGCTGTTGATGTCATGACTATCACGACCTGCCTCACAGTGCATGTCAGAGAGGAGAATTCCCCGAGGCCCCAATATCAGACCATTTGGACTTCTTTTAATTCCTGGGACGTCCCTGGCACCATAACCGACACACTCCGACTATATGTAACTTTCTGAAGTGATGGCCTAACGATCTGCAAGCGGCTGGAATATTCCGTATACCGAACTTCAATGTGAATGAGATACAACACTTTCGGAGTTACACTCTTTTGGGCCTAGCAAAAGATTGTACGGTAGGGATATATGAAAGATTGGCTTTTGGGGCTGACAAAAGATAATCTTTATTGAGAATTTCGAAGCTTGTAATATATATTTTCAGCCAGTATTATCTTTGTTGATACATTATAATTAAATCTTTTATATTCCCTTCTGACACTGGAGGATTTGTAATCTTTAGGGCCAGGCAGAAGGTTGCATGAAGGAGAATTCCCAGCCAATTAGAGGCAGTGGGATGCCCTTTCATACAACCTTCTGCCCGGCCCTAAAGATTACAAATCCTCCAGTGTCAGAAGGGAATATAAAAGATTTAATTATAATGTATCAACAAAGATAATACTGGCTGAAAATATATATTACAAGCTTCGAAATTCTCAATAAAGATTATCTTTTGTCAGCCCCAAAAGCCAATCTTTCATATATCCCTACCGTACAATCTTTTGCTAGGCCCAAAAGAGTGTAACTCCCGAAGTGCAAGGATCGCTGGCCGTCATGATCAGCGCGTAACTCTGCCGATAATGTCGTGAACGTCGCGTTGATTTCTTCAGTTTTATGTGATACGAACGGTGTACGTTGATGTCAGTTGTCCTTGGGATACAACAAAGGATGTTATCCCCCACTCTGAGGTGCGCACTCCAATGTAATGGATTGCAGGGAGTGACGCTGACACTATTGTACACATGCCGTCTATTACAGCCTCCCTCTACTGCGAGAACGTCTGCTGCTATTCGTTCTTACACTTGTCATGCGAAATGCTGCAGGGCCGCCCCGACCAGCGCCCATGTTCATCATCTTCTTCCTCCTGTCCCGCAGTGCCTGCTGTACCATCTTCTCCTCGTCCGTGAGCCTATCCTGTGCAGTCGATAACCTAGACATGTCTGATCCAACCGAGGTCGCGGAGCAATTCGAGGTCAACCTCGTCAATATCTTTGGTCTTGCTTGTTGCCTGGACTCTTTCCTGAAGATGCTCTCCCGACTTGCGGACCCCTCCCTGCTGGTATCCTGAGGTCCCCTCTGCGTCCTGATACTGATGGCCCTCGACAATGGCGGTATACTCGGCAGACGCGGAGCCCGAGACCCTGTCTCAAACACCGACGAAGTAGCAGACGCTGTCGAGTAAACGCTGCTCGCCCGCGTCACCGTTCCGGACGGCGGCACGCACAGCTGTGCCCTTTGGCGCGACTTGACCATCGCCGACTCCGGTCGTTTAGTTATGGTAAGAGGTCGAGTGAGCGGCTTCGGCGTCTCGACCCCCCGTATGTGAACGACCCCAGTGCCCTCTTCGACCTCTTCCAGAGTATACAGGTTCGACGTGGTAGTGCGGTTGGTGCTCTCCCTAGTCAACGAGGCGCCGGGCAGTCGCTGGCTGGACCGACGCTTGCTCCGAGAGGGCATGGTCGTGAACTTGTCTTGACTTTGAGTCTCACTTGCGTTCGTAGACAGATATCCGCCAGCCATGTTGAGCACGCTCGCGAGATTAGCCCTCAATGACGCCGTCCAAGCTTCGACATTGGTCCCTGCCGTCGGCTTGTCCTCGCCTACGTTTGTTGGCTGTCCCGTGTCAAGCCCTTGTCCTTCCCCAGGATACGGCAACGGCTCCCAAGAGTCTTCCTCATTTTTCTCAGCGATTCCCTTCTCTAGATCCCCAGGTGGCGCGTTGCCACTTGCCATCCTGCCTCTGCTCGGTGCCCAGGGAACATCGAGCCCGCCGTCCTTGAGCCCGAGGAATCTTGGTTTATCATTGAAGGTGGGCTGCCGCGGGGTGCTGAAAGGATCCGCTGAAGGTGTCTGCAGCATTGCCAGCGATGTTCCCGGCCGGCTGGCTTCATCTGACGAGAGGAACACGTCCCCTGGCATCAAATTGGCTACTTGGAGAGGTGTTCGATCGTGCGCGCTGAGGACGCTCGGCTGCAGTGGACTGTTGTTTGACGAATACGAGTCGAGGATATCGGCCGGGTAGGAGTCGCCATTGAGATGAATCCCGGGAGGCGGCTGTAGATGCTGGTCGTAGGCGCTGTAATCGCCCTCTTGCATCGCCGAAGAATATCCTGGTCCGAGATAGTCCTCCTTGCTCGAGTAGCCTGCATCGAGAAAGCTGTCTTTCCGATCTCGGTTCTGCCAGAGATATGGTGATTCGGCCTCGAGTCTGCGCCGCCTCCTGTGCGAGCGCATGCGCAAGAGCCAGGCTACGAAGGCAATGATGACACCCGAGCCCGCGATGCATCCCAAGGCAATCCCGATGTAGAGAGAGTCATTGTTGCTTGAGCTGGCTGAAGTGAACGCCGCCGCGGACGGCGTAGATGAGGAACTTGGGATCGCCAAGACAACAGAAGAAGTACTGAGGGGTAGTGCGGGAGTCGACGATACCAGAGAGCTGGTCGATATGATTGCAGACGTTGATGCTGCTTGTGAGACTGAAGTTCCGCTCGACGGGACGACAGACTCTGAAAGCGCCGAGGATACGTGAGAAGCAACGGATGTTGTCGCGTATGTTCCTGTTGTCATCGACTCTGGAACAACTGACGTTGCCACAGGAGTCGGTATAGCTTCGGACGTTGGCCCACCCGCTGGGGTTGTATTCACTTGCGGTGCTGCACCGCCTGTTTGGTCCTGAGGCTCCTGAATTGCTTGCGGAATACCTGCCTGAGAGTCCGACGGAGCGTTGCCGCCGACATCTTCAGGAGAAACGACGGATGCCTGGCCGTCAGGACCGAAGATAATTATGCTTCCGGTATCACTGGCAGGCTCTGGGTTCCTTCCGAACAGAGAGTGGCGAAGGATGAAACCATAGTGCGACCGAGGGCAGGATAATCGCATCGTATGCTTGGATATGCGCGCCGGGCGCCAGGATGAAGGGAGAGGATACCAGTCCGAGAGAGCAAGGATGTCTGCTTGACGAGTCTTGGAACAGTGAACAGGGGATAGCGTGTTCGGACGTCCGTCTTATGGGTCAAGAAATTGGAATTCGGCCTGGTCTCGGGCGGTTATGCCTAGTCCGCCCTCCCGCTCCGATCAGTCCGTCTTCATGTCAAGGTCATGGATTGGAATATTGACCGCCGAGTTCCGGTCGTCATCAGCATCACTCTATGAAGGACGCGCGATTTGCCTGGAATACGCGAGGATCCACTACCCATCACTGCCTGGAGCTGGCCATGATTCCGCTCGACAGTCCTCTATTTTGCTGCGTACCTCCATCTCGCGGAGTACAGGTCATGGCATCATGCCCCAACGCGTCTTTATTCTGGATGTCCTGAGAGCGGTGATAGTCCGCGACGTGACATCCTAAGCTTAAGTGGCGACAACTCAATGAGACAAAGGGACTGTGGCATGACTGAGCGTCATGTGACACTCGCGCCCTCAGTCGCACATAACGCGGTCATTCAGACGCGTATCAAGCCACAGGCTTGACTTCACGCCCCTCCTATCACCCAGCTTACTTCCTCCCCAACCGCCGTGCCAGTTGTGAGTACATTGTACATATTATTTCTGTCTTCGATCCTGTACTTACCGAGTTGAAGTGCAATTATGGGACTCCCAACGGAATGGTGGGGTGGATATATATTCACTGTGCACGAAATCCTTTGGTGGGCGAAGCAATCCCACCTCGACTACCCTTCAGACCCTGCTGAAGTTGTGCGAACGCTTGCACGCAATTGGCGGGACCTGACAGTCGAGGCGATGGTGGCAGGCGGCGTCGATGTCATCTTCGTTCGAACGCATTACAGGTGGAAAGCAATCAAGCCACAAAATACACCGGAAGAGATCAAGAGTAGCTGGGGCCCTTTCGACACTGAAACTAGTTTCCCCGAATTCTTCCAGACATCTCTGTGCAATGATGCACTCGATGGAATACTCAAAGTCAAGTTCCGCCTCGAGGTCAGCGGGCTTTACGCTCCAACCTTCGCTTGGGTCAATTTCATTGAAGGGCCTACTCTCGCCGGAGTCAGGACACGTTCTGGTGAGCACCATGCCTCGCATGTGAGATCAGTGCTAATTCCGGACAGGACGAGCTAGTGCTGTGGGCTCTGCCATGCGTGTGGCCTTCGTTTATGGATCAGGCTGGGAATGTCTTTTCAGGCAGGACGAGCCAGACAAGAGCATCCTTGCCAAACAAGCGGCATTCTACGAGGACGCCATGGATATTCTGTCGGATTCCTGGTCTATGCCTGCCGACTGGTGAAGATCTCTCGTTGAGGCGCCAATGCAGCATAAGGATAGAACGCAAGCATTCCGTTACTTAGTACTCGAACTAGTGAGCTTTCAATATATTCCGTTTCCATTCCTCCCGTCTCCAACACCACCAAGCCAGTGTCCTAAAGACAATCCGCTTTTGCATCTTCGACGGGGCATCACGACTTGCACGTTGCACGTTTCACCGACGCTGCAGCTATATGGGTGGGCGATGTGCAGTGCATAATTCATTCACTCCCCTCACCAGGGCTATCTTGGTGATGGCAGCATATCAAGGAGCAACTCCGAAAGGCTTGTCCGACGCAGACCGTAATATCCTATCCGCATTTAGTAATTTGCAATGTCATTGCATACTCATTACACAGGAACACGAAAGAAAACAGGACAGCTAATAGACTACATTATAAGAGATTGATGAATCAGCGGAACACAATGAGAGAAGCGTCAGACATTAGCTCATGACAGGATACCCCATCCATCCACCCATCACGTACTAACTAGCGCTCTATGCCGTAGCGTCGGCGCGCTTCTTCGCCATCTGCACGGTCAAATCAGTATTGGCGTCAATGACAGCGACCGTAGCAAGCACTCACCAAGTTCAGAGCTGAACCAGCCTTGAACCACTCAATCTGGCCCTCGTTGAACGAGTGCGCGAGAGGGATCTCCTCCTGCGAGCCATCCTCGTGCTTCACACGAAGCGTCAGGTTCTTGCCAGGCGCGAAGCTCTCCAGGCCCAAGATATCGACCTTGTCGCTGGGGCGGATCTTGTCGTAGTCGGCGGGATCAACGAAGGTCAGGGCAAGCATTCCCTGCTTCTTCAAGTTCGTCTCGTGGATACGGGCGAAGGACCGGGTGATAATAGCCAGACCGCCGAGGAAGCGGGGCTCGAGAGCGGCGTGCTCACGGGACGAACCCTCACCGTAGTTGTGGTCACCGATGACGACCCACTTGATGCCGTGGTCGCGGTAGTACTCAGCAGTCTGGGGGACGGGGCCGTATTCGCCAGTGATCTGGTTCTTAACCTTGTTAGCCTCGCCGTTCTCGGCGTTGATGGCACCAATCAAGCAATTCTTGGAGATGTTCTCGAGGTGTCCACGGTACTTGAGCCAGGGGCCACCAGCCGAGATGTGGTCAGTCGCTACACAAGCATTCAGCAAGGACAATACTTAAGATCCAAAGAAGGTGATACTTACTGCACTTGCCCTTGACCTTGATGAGAATAGGGAGATCGGTGGGGGTCTTGCCATCCCAAGGAGCGAAGGGCTTTAACAGCTGCAAACGGTCACTCTTGGGGTCAACGGCAACCTGAACGGAGGCACGATCAGCCGGGGGAGCCTGGAAGGTGTTCTGTCCAGGGTCGTAGCCGCGAGGAGGAAGCTCGAAGCCAGAGGGATCAGAGAACTTGAACTCCTTGCCATCAGCACCCTTGAGCGTGTCAGTCAAGGGGTTGAACGTGAGCTGGCCAGCGAAAGCGAAAGCGGTGACGATATCGGGGGAGGCAACGAAAGCATGGGTGGCGGGGTTAGCATCGTTACGGCCAGTGAAGTTACGGTTGTACGAGGTGATGATCGAGTTGGGCTCGCCCTTCTTGACGTCCTGACGGTCCCACTGACCGATGCAGGGGCCGCACGCATTAGCCAAGACGAGACCGCCGACCTTCTCGAAGATGCCGATCTGACCGTCACGCTCGATAGTAGCGCGAACCTGCTCGGAGCCGGGAGTGATAGTGAACTTGGACTTGGTCTGGAGACCGTGATCGGCCGCCTCCTTGGCGATAGAAGCAGCGCGGGACATGTCCTCGTACGAGGAGTTGGTGCAAGAACCGATGAGAGCAACCTTGAGTTCCTCAGGCCAACCGTTCTTCTTCACTTCCTCCTTGAACTTGGAGACAGGGGTAGCCAGGTCGGGGGTGAAAGGACCGTTGATGTGAGGCTCAAGCTCAGACAGGTTCTACGCGGGAACGTCAGTGTATACTCCCGGTAACACTTCGGAGATTCACTTACAATCTCGATGTGCTCGTCGTACTCGGCGCCCTCGTCAGCCTGCAGGTTAGGTGCGAACCGCTGAGCATATTTGGCAATCTCCGGACGCTTGGTGGCATTCAAGTAGTCGACCATACGGTGGTTGAAGGGGAAGACGGACGTCGTTGCACCAATCTCAGCACCCATGTTGCAAACCGTGGCCATACCCGTGCAAGACAGTGATTCGACACCAGGGCCCTTGTACTCGACAATAGCACCGGTTCCACCCTTGACAGTGAGGATGCCAGCAACCTTGAGGATAACGTCTGAAATAGAGTAAGCGATGAGGTCGAGGTGAATACAAGCGACCTGACTCACCCTTGGGAGCTGTCCAGCCTGAAAGTTTACCAGTCAAGTTAACACCAATGACCTTGGGGCACTTGAGCTCCCAAGGAAGATCCGCCATAACGTCGACAGCGTCCGCACCGCCTACACCGATAGCCAGCATGTTCAAACCGCCAGCATTGGGCGTGTGCGAGTCGGTACCAATCATGAGACCACCGGGGAAGGCATAATTTTCGAGGATGATTTGGTGGATGATACCAGACCCAGGCCGCCAAAAACCGAGACCGTACTTGGCGGTGGCGGTCGCCAAGAAGTCGTACACCTCCTTGTTATTCTTCACAGCACGCGCAAGATCCTTGGGACCACCGACCTGGGCCTCAATCAAGTGGTCGCAGTGCACGGTCGTCGGAACAGCCGCGGTGTCCATTCCAGACGACATGAATTGGAGGAGAGCCATCTACCCCGCATGACGTCAGATATGAGATAGCGAGAAATACGATCCATTTACATACCTGAGCCGTGGCGTCCTGACAAGCGACACGCTGCAAAAACTGTTAGGGGAATACTGAAGCCATGTAGACTACAACCACTCACGTCCGGACGCAGCTTCAGATATGAAGTCCCCCGCACGATATCTTGCGTGTGGGGATCGTCAAGATGCCCGTACAAGATTTTTTCCGACATCGTCAGCGGTCTCCGAAGACTGCAAAATCATCAGTAAGTCCTCTGAATGCTCCGACTCGTCGAAAACGCGCACTCACCGTTCGCGAACGACCTTCAGGTTGTCCTCAATCCGCTGATAGTTGATGTAGGCATCCTTCTCGAAGAGCGACATGGCGACCTTGGTGTCGCCAATGCGGGGCTCAACGGCGGTGGCCATGCCCGCGGCCAACCGCCGCAGCGCATTCGCGGTGCGCGTCGATAGGTTGAACATCGTCGAGGACGACGTCGACGTCGATGATGGAATTCAGGAGGAAAGGGGGGTTCGGCATTTCCCGGGTGCGAACGCCTGCCAAATTTATTCGGTCAGTCCTCGTGATTGAATAGCCGGAGGGCCAATCAGAAGTCACTCTTTTGTCCGGATGCCGGCCGCGGTCTCCGACCAATGAAATTAATGATATTATTTATTATTTACTATTTAATGCCTTAACTTAGACTCCCAATTTTCTCCGTCCTTCCATCCTCTTCTTCGCAGAACATACGCGTTGGCTCAGCTAGTCCTCAGAAACAATCGTGTTTCGTACCTTCATACTCTGACAAACCGGGTAGGCAATTATGGGAAAGAACGACTACTCTAAGCCACGTTCTCTCCCATGTATTATCAAGCGCGGCGTGTCTGCAGGTGCGGTCCTGACAAGAATGTCGTGGCTAAACTCGGCCGACGCTGCTGGCAGCGGTCTGCAGACCAGGAATTTTTCGATGGGAAGGATACATCACGGTCCTGCACATCTTTGAACCGACATTCTGTGGGCATGTGTTTATTCTGGGAGAATTCACCCGCATTGCCTCCGCATCGCTCTGCCGCGTCCGCGGAGCTGCGTTGAAGCGGCTCGAGCAGCGGGTGGGCCCCCTATTTCCTCGCGATTGTGATGGTCAAGGTTGATGAAGGTCTGTAGATTCGAGGACTGAATGTTCACATGTACTAATACCGTCTGAGATATCGACTGAATACAGAGTGCATATGAGGATCCGCTCGGGAGGCTCTAGCGTGTTCATGACTGGTAAATAACAACGTCAAATCACTGAAAGCAGAGCTAGAGCAAGGTCGATTACTTGCTATCCCACACGACGAAGTTGGGAATATTCACCGTACTTACTATCTAACTCAACCGGTACTGCTCCGGTATACCCAGAGCATATGGGGGAGGTAAGTCCAGCCGATATTCCTCCGGTAAATTCAATCCTTCTCCTCTCTCCTGTATGTCTGCTATAGTTGACAATCTCCTAATTCTTCTTGTGCGATCTTTTGTCCTGAGGGTGTCAGCGCGTTGTCGGGCTTGCCCTGCAGCTGAGGTACCCTGACCGTCACCCGTATTATACCCGCCTATGTTTGGAACCTGCGACTTCTCACCCAAAGTCGCGTGTGACGGCGCTCGCCGGAGAGATTTGTGCTTCAAGTACTTGCCCAGATTGAATAGAGGCCGAGAGATAGTTGTCTGCCTCTTCGTTTCTGAAGCGCCTTTCGACCGTCCCAACTCGTCTGGTGGATTTAGAGACTCTGAGGCGGCGCGCCTTGGGGGTGGGCGCAAAGATGCTTGTGATGGCCGCAAGGTGAGTGGACGTGGTGGTACTGCCAGAGTATCCAAGCTTTCCATGAATGTGGGTGGCGTCACCGGACTGCGGAACACCACGCAAGCTGGTTTGGACAGGACGCGCCCGGCTGTGCAGCTGTTGTTGTTGAGGCTACTCCAACTACTCTTCAAGATCTCACCTCCGTTTCGATCCACTTCTATATCGACAGTGTCCGGCGAAAGGATCACAAGGCCCTAGACATAAGTTCAACCGCCGCGGAAGTCTCCAGTTCCTTGGGTACTTACATGTAAGTATGGCCATAAATCTTCGTCGTGTGCCACAGCCACTCTGGCATCAGAATTCTAGATCATATACGGCGTCAGCTGGCATACAGGCGCTGTATGAGTAGACATCACCTTCGGGATATGATCAAGGATCGGATCCAGAAGGTTGACGTCCTTCAGCGCGTCTCGTCAATGTCTACCTCTGGTCCCACATTCACCCTCACCTTTGTACTTGTAGATGTGTCGTGCTACGCCAGCTTCGTCGCCTAGCTCGAGCGCAGATGTTGAATCGTGGTGTCTGTCTTCGCGTTCCAAGTCTGGTGGATACGAGGCCGCTTTGATTGTCTTGGGAGTCAAAAAGCTTCTCTCTTTGATGCGGTAGCCTCTCAGAAAGACGCACTTGGTACTGTCTGGTCTGGGTTCTGAACTCTCTGCGGCTCTTTCTGGCTCTAGCAGTATCGACGCCTGTGGACCATATTGATGTTGCACACCGCCAGTCATGTTCGTCTGCCATCCACTGTGGATCTCGAATTCGGCTGTGATCATTTCTGGCACAGAAACACCGTGCCTAAGTGTACCCTGGAGTTCGGGGGTACCGAACGCAACCATTGCCCACTGCGTTGTGAGGTCACGACCCGTGACGAGAATGTGGTCCGAAACGACGAGGTCGAAGCCGAGCGTGTCGTTGGCAAATGTGAGCCACGAGGCATAATGCTTCAGACAGTACTCGCGAAACCAACGCCCAAAGTGCGCGTCTTGCCTCCTTCGGAAGAACTAGTGCAGCCCCAGACTCCTTTGTGCAACCAAAAGCTACTCGTGTGCTAGCAGGCGCCACCATCCCTCTTCATACTAAATTAATTCTGAATGCACGCAAGGAGGGGAAACTCACCCGCTTGCGTTAACGTTCGCGGAGATCACCTTGACACTTGTAGAATGCAGGTGGCCACGCAGTGGATGTCTGTCCCATTTGTAGTCCGGGAACGGTAGTTGTAACGGCTCGTAATATTCGGGCACTCCCCATCTGTGTGAAGAATGGTCCCCAGGCAACAAGTCGTTGGAGAGACGGTGGAAGAATCCGTCTCGTATGAAGCCGACGTTGCCAGTTTCCACTCGATGATACTCTTTGCCAGGGTTGGGTTCCCAGAGTGCATGCCCGTATCCCAGCCCAGACATCTCCTTAGCGTAAACGTTCGCGCCCATCCAACATGTATGGGCTGCAAGATACCCTTGCCTTCCATGTGACGTTGGACGCGGTCGCAGTGCAATGCCATATAAGCACCGAGTGACGTTCCTTACGTTGAGACTTTTAACGGGATCGATATACTTTCTGAGGTCGCGGTTGGCAGGTTACTACTATTGTTCGAGGTCTATCTGTGGTTCGCACGGCACAACATGATTCAAGAGCAAGTACTGCGGTGCTCACCACAGCTGAGATCGGCCTGAGTGTCTGTCGTCTTGGTCTGACATCAGGTGAGACGGCGGCGAGTGCTCTTACTGGTAGTGTAACATAAAACATCCATGCGTATGACTCTGTGAAAGGCTCCCACCGGAAGTCTTACTTTAGCAACAACTCTGATAACCTTACAGCTCGAATGTACACGCAGCGCTTATAATACCATCCGACTCCTGCATGCTCAACACACGGCGACTATCCAGTCAGGTGCCGGCTACTTACAGGATTGCTGGCTCAGCCGGCGGCCGGAGAGGACTGGTGTTATGGCTGATCATCTGTTAGTGAGCAAGGATGGCCATCGGCTTGTACGGCTCCTCAAGGAAAGCTACGTCCTCCTGATTGAGTTTGACGTCAAGGGCACCTAGATAAAGTAATTGAGCGTGGTTCGGAGCTGTCATCGTAGATCAGACACCCACCCAGCAGGTCTTGCAACTTCTCGAGAGAAGTGCTTCCCACGATAGGTGCAGCTACGACTATGTCGCAATTTGAGTTTTTGTCAGCTTCGACGAAAGCATAGCAAGGTCGGGGACTAACCGTCCTTAGCCATAACCCATGCCAACGCCACTTGAGCCATAGTCGCGCCATGCTTCTTTGCGATCGCCTCGACGCTTTTAAGAGTAAGTTAGTGAATGGGGAAGACGAGAGGCTCGCAGACGGACTCACCGTCCAACGATCTGTTTGTTCCCAGTTCCCAGTTGTAGGTACAGGTCCGCCATCATCTCATCACTCTCCTGCCTGGCCGTCTTCTCCGTTGTGGACAGAGGGCGGGCGACAGCACCCCGAGCAAGAGGAGACCACGGAATTGAGGCAACCCCAAAATGCTATATTGATCAGAGAACGTAAACTCGTACATAGGGTTGGCGACTAACTTTCAAGGTAGGCATCATCTCGCGCTCTTCTTCTCGGTAGACCAAGCTGTACTGGTTTTGCATGGAAATGAACGGTGTCAGGTTGTGCGTGATGGCATAATCTGGTCCAGCCATTAGCACTGGTTTGTAACTGACCAAACAGTACCTACTCTGCATAATATGGACTGTATAGTGGTTTGAGTAATATGCTGTAGGTTGGAGTAGTTCCGTGATGACTTACACTGCCATGCATAGCAAGAGCTCATGCCGATGTAGCGGACATAGCCAGCTTTGACGACGTCATGAAGGGCTTGCATCTGTTCGTGAATAGACATGGTGAGCGACATCTGCACCGAGAAACGTGGATATGGCGTATGAACCCTCACCGTTTCTTCTATTGGAGTGTCAGAGTCGAGCCGGTGACCTAAAGATTTGTTAGAGCTAGGAGCATTGCAGAGCGCCGGGATTTTCGCAGCGGTCCCCTGCGCGGATCCAGGTAATATCACATTGGAGAACGTCTATATAGTCAAGCTGCAACCTTTGCAAACTGGCTTGGACAGCATCGAAAATGTGCTTGCGAGAGAGCCCGTGTTGATTCAGGTAGCCAACGTTATCCGGGCCCGCTTGATACAGTGCCCAAGCGGATGTGTCTACGGTCTTACCTACTGCCCCGCGAATCTGTTATACACCGGTCACCTAAAAGGTCATGGAAAGCGAACTTCGAGTTGCCATACCTTAGTCATGACAACGATCTCTTCTCGGGGAAGGTTATACTTCTTGATGGCTTTCCCGAGAACGACTTCGCTCATGCCATTGGAGTAGACCTGCCGGATACTCGAAGCTAAGAGGCAAAGTCAATGAGACACACTTACATTGGCTGTATCAAAAGTTTGAATGCCGCGATCGTATCTGGCGTACACGGTTCAGGGCAAGACTTCACCGGTGAGAATACTGAGACACTGACGCGAATTTTATGTGCTTCAAGCTCTCTTCCTCATCGAGGACCCACGGCTGCCACTTCGACGATCCATACGACATGCAACCCAAAATGATCTTCGAAATCTTGAGGCCTGAGCGTCCCAGACGGACTCAGGATTATTTCAGAATTGGGCTATGTATCTTTCCTGGGCTGCACCCACCGTAAGGAACACGACGAGGGTCAGTGAAAGATACCATATCAAGGTGGCTCGTTAATGCGGAGGGATAGACCTACGTATCAGCTTTAAATAACAGGAGACTGGGCCGGCGAACAAACGATGCGGGGATGCCGGTCATCAAGGTCTTCGTAGATACTACATTGGCGCCGATAATGGTTTATTAATGCCCTGGTGATACGTATTATCGACGTCATTGCTAAGCTTCAGCGGGATACCTCGAAAGAAGTCGCTGACGACGTTAGAGCAACACCAATGTATTTCCTTCAGTCAATGACGACGGCGCACCATTCACTTCGATTTCATGTAAAATGCCCGCCACTAGCTTAGCTTGAGGCTGAATATGCTCATGCAAGCACTCTCCTGAATGGTTGCTATTAAGAGCGCGATGGTTAGTGGGCTACCGCCAGTCGCGTAACACCGAACGATGACAGGTGGCAGTCCTCCCCCCTCCTCCTCAGCTCAATATAAGAAGCACTCCATATCATCGCATCTGGTATTCCGGACGGGGCACACGTATACTTACTAGTACATGCCCCTCCTTTGGGAGGGGTTCTGGCATCCCCAATATGCGGACCACTTTTCGACCGACCGGCACATCCCGGCGTGCCATGTCTGGCTTTAGTGGCGCCACCGCCGCCACTACGGAATGAGACTTGTCTCGAATCAACTCTTGAGTCCGTTAGTAGGCCTGAAAGACTTATCAGCACAGTACATGGTTGCTTAGATATAATTTATGCAGTCCACCTGGGATGGAATGTATGGAGTTGGGGCTCACTAAAACTCCATGTATTTTATGTTCTTTTGCCGCCACTTATAAGTGGAAATTTCACGGCATTTGCATGCAATGAAACTGCAGACATGGAATGGAACTTGAAACCATGCAATCCAGATAATGTACACATGTATGCATCACGTGTGTCTCGGGCAACGGAACATCTCTCGGGCTGCCCAGGATATGCCACTGGTCCTCCTGGACCCCGAAGCTCACTCAGCCCGATTAACAACAAGCGGATTTTTTGATCATAAAACTTGAGGCATTAATCTCAACAAGCTATGACACAGTAATTTTTATGCAATAAGTAGTACTCAAGCTCAACTAATACACAAATTGAAAGGAGGGGTAAGCTGCCGACAGCCGTCGGCGCTCCTTGAGTAATCATGAATTAAAAGAAATGTCGAACATCAGCAAATTGTCCCGCGGCTGGTAGTGGCTGGCGCATATTCCAGTTATTTTAGCACGTCTACAATCACATTACCAGCCGAATACCAGACTTGTATCTATGATAAGCGAAGCGCCTGCTGAGATACACTTACCCGAGGATTATCTTATCATTCTATATATATACCCTTAGCAACGAAGCAATCACCGGCGCCTCACGTGCTAAGTTCAACATGTCGGACTTTGAACTTGACTTAAAAGCGCGCCGCAGTTCGACTTCATCGCCAATCCCCTCTCTCCCTTGTATCACTGGGGAGGCACAACGCTCGGTTCCGGTGCGAGTTGATTTGTCAGCAGATTGTGGCTGAAAGGTGGTCGCAAGTATCCCCTCGTTTTCTTGTGCATTCCTCTGCTCCATTCTCACCTTATGCATGCATCAGCAATGTATATCACTATTGTAAACCAGCAAGAAGGGTATTCTACCATTACAGACTGTAGTAGATATAAGCATGTCTGTCTCTTCTTATTCCTGAGCTGACCACCATTGGGATGAAATGATGGTCAATTTCACTGAGGTCGGTGATATGCACTGACACACAACAATCACCAAGGACCAAAGGAAATAAACCTAAACCCCGTGATATGGGTGAAGGTGGTCCGAGACAACTGAGGGGTATTTAATAGTTCGAGGGGGAAAGGAGGAGTAAGACGCCGTAGGGTAGTCCGTAGGAAGACCTAGAAAAATAAAACAAAAACCTTGACGCCTGAAACAAACACTAATGGACGCTCCGGAGTATTTATCTCCGAAAAGTCGCAAACAAAGTCGCAAACAAAGTCGCAAACCACGTAACTGAGTGTAGGTTCGGGCCCACGGGAGTAGGAAACGCTAGAAAGACTTGTTTAATTTTATTTCGCTATGTGAGACTCACCGGAGCTAATTGAATCAATGGCGGAGATAATTCACTCGACGAGTCAGGCCTATTGGCAAAGCTAGGATCGGTTATAATTCGCTAAGTTCGACGCTTTCGAACTCCTCAGGTCGCTGAGATCGTAACGCTAATTCTCTGAGATGGTGAAGTCGAAACTTGTTTTTCTGTACGCTACTTTGTACAATTTATACTACAGGAATGGCTTTGCGACCGTCCGGAGATAAATAACAAATAAACGCCGCTACCCACAGGATTGCTCAGCACTTGCCGCCGTTATACCATACACCATACGACTCTCTTGCACTCCCACTTGCTCGTCCCAGCCCCTAGAGGGCGCCTCGACGCTCCGCCACCTGCCCTAAGAGGTCCCATCACTCCGCGTGATGTGCCGATCATGTGCTAATTACCTCCGGCCGCTTGCTGACAGATGCTGGCCTCATGGTGACTCATATGCGTCCGCACCTTCGGTAGTTTGATGGAAACGAGAGGGAGTGAGTGTTGGAGGTTGGGCATGAGGACGACGCCCCTCGATAGAAGCGTCCACGGCCCCGGAGCTAATTCATCTAGAAGTTGCGTTGGTTAAGTCGCTCCGGAGCTCCTGTTTGCGGAGATAAATCGCGGAATGGGTCCGTGTACGCCTCGAGGATGCTAGGAAGTCCGGAGCTAAATAGAGCAGTTCTTTAGAGCCCATAGAAGCCTAGTGGCGTGTGAGTGCTGTGTCGAATAAGCTCCGGAGGGCTTGTACGATGTGCTGAGTCCGCATTTTCGGGGGTCAGATGATCCTGAGGCTTATCATCGGCAAAGGAGTGCATAGGGAAGTTATGTATTGCTCTTTAGAAACATTTGGAACATATCTATGTGCACACCAGTGGGTGCATTCCCTATCCTTGATACAGATGAGCTTGATTTCCAGGAAGCACAAATCTGTGTAATTAATGTAATTAATAGACAAAGCAAGTACTGGATCACAGCTGTAAAAGGCTGAATATATATCTCATGTACTATGTTGATTTCACAGTTCTAACATAGGGGAAGGGACATGCTTCTGCTGCGGCAGGAGAGCCCAGACAGTGACCAGGATATTTGGTGTGACACTTTTTGCGATGGTGTCACAGCTTGTCACGTCCGCGACGCGTTCGGACGCGTCGTTAATTGCTCTTTACTGCCAGAAAACCTAAGGGCCTGTTCGGTTGCGCGGGTAGGGTAGGGTAGGGTAGGGTTAGCTTGGTCCTCAGTTTCCCAGCGGTCCCAGTGGCATCTATTCTCACCCTGAGTCACAGAGTGTGACATGCGCTATTTATGGATGGATCCTGCTTCTTCAAGTCTGGAGCTCAAACCCACGTGCGTCTATTCCTCATTTGAGCAGCGCAATGGTTCTTCGGCAATGGCCAGCTCTGCTGATTGGCCAAATAATCTAAAACTGACCGGTCAAGCTCGGCTTACCGGCATCGTGCACAGACGCCCATGCAGGTGCGGTCACTCTGGTGACAGACCTGGGGCTAGACTTGAGTCCACCGAACACGTTCTGCGAGACCTGCGAATGGGAAATTTCCTTGGTTGTATCTGAAACGCCACAAATTTCCTAATCTGTGCACTTTAACCCTACCCTACCCTACCCTACCCGCGCAACCGAACAGGCCCTAAGGTTCACATTCACGCGTCACTTGATTCATAAAAGTTAATCTATATCAACGAGCGGATGCAACGTTGGTTGTACATTTTTGTTAAATGTACTTGCAGTCTCGTTACCTCTATCGAATGAACTTGATATTGGGAAAATCAGAAATTCAAAACCAACGTTGCATCTTCTGTATCATGACATCCCTGCTGGTACATTTTATATGCGTGATTTCGACATGCGGAAGGCTCTATGAAGGCGGGGGATTTGCGACCACTTTCTTGCAGAGTCCAAACAGATGCAAACAACTCGCCGCGCGACCCGGAATTGCGCCTCCCCA